CCCCGCCAGACTTGCCCCGCCAGGATGCCCCAGGGTTGCCCCCGCCATTTTTCATATTTTTAATCTACATTTTCTATCTTCTAATATTCCTTTAAGGAATTCCACTAATAATAAAATAGCAGTTTTCCTTTCATTGTTATCGGCTTCTCTTCTTTCTCACATCCAGATAATGCATTAGAAGCATGTGGATGACTTACTCCTTTACATATCGTACCTGAATGGTATTTCTTATGCCAATATGCTATGTTAAAAGCTGTACCATTTAAAAATGCAGGATTCATTTTCTTATTTACTTCTTTCTTCATCCTTTACTTTATGAGAAGTCTTTCAATGTCATTCTATTTTATAATTAAGACGTCCAGTAGATTTAACGGTATTTATCGCAACCCCGCCGGGTTGCCCAGTTTTACCCCTGCCAGGGTTGCCCCCACCACGGTTCCCCCCGCCGAGTTAGGGTTGGGGTTGCCCCGCCAGGGTTGGACCAGGGTGACATTGCCCTCGCCGGGTTGCCCCGTCAGGGTTCCACGCCTCCTCACGTCGCCTACTCAGGAATTGTGCACCTTCTCTGCGACGGCCCTGCCCACCTCGTCCTCCTCGCGCGCTGGCGAGGCTTCGTCGTCCTTCTCTATGAAGTTTTGTTTAGTTGCGGAGCAGGGCTTCAAGTGCCATATGGGCCCCAGATGCTTGAAGGGCCCTGTCTAAGTTCCCATTACTAGTCGCCCCCGCCAGGGCCCCGCCAGGGTTGCCCCCGCCAAGGTTGACATATACATATATATATATATATAGAGAGAGAGAGAGAGAGAGGAAAAAAAAAAAGAGTATTTTTTTTACAAAGAAACCTCGCCTTGCCCCTTGCAGGGTTGCCCGTGCCAGGGTTGCCCCCCCCAGGGTCGCCCCCGCAGGGGTTGCCCCCGCCAGGGCTGCCCTTGGGTTGCCCTTGCTATTGGCAGCGTTGCCCCCGCCACACCCCGCCAGGGTTGCCGCCCGCCAGGGTTGCCCCCCGCCGGCCCTTGCGCGACCCCGGTGGGGAGGCCGGGCCCAAGACGCGCGACCCCAGCGTAGGAGGTCCTGCCAAAAAAAGACCAGGCTGGCTTGCGCCAGCGGTGGCCGGCCTTGAGCGCTTGGCACTCGCCATTCTGCCATATGAATGAGCTTGGGTCCGGAATTGGGCTTGAGGGTGCCTTAAACACAGTATGGGTGAAACAGATTGTCCCGCTCTCTGTTGATCCAGGAAAGTGTAGGCTCAAGCAACACGCCCCCCCCCCCCAGCGGGGAGACTCGAGAAGTAAGCCCCCTTGATAGGGGGGCCGTGGAGGGGACCGCTCTAAACCCGAAACAGGCGGTAGCTTGGGTGGCTGGGGTGGGATCCGCTGCGCCGAGGCGGCCCGACCCGCCACCACTCCCTGGCGCGGGTGGGACCGCGGCAACCCTAAACCCTAAACCCTAAACCCTAAACCCTAAACCCTAAACCCTAAACCCTAAACCCTAAACCCTAAACCCTAAACCCTAAACCCTAAACCCTAAACCCTAAACCCGAGAAGCCCCCAAAACCCCCCCCCCCCCCCCCCCTTAACAGCGAGTTAGAAAGTCGGGACAGCAAGCTCAACCCGCAACCATAGATGGCACGGCTACTTCCCTAAACCCTAAACCCTGAACCCTAAACCCTGAACCCTAAACCCTAAACCCTAAACCCTACAAAGCACCTCGGTCACCAGGAACTTCTTTGCGAGCCTGATGAGGTCCTGGTTCAAGCCAGGTTTAGGGTTTACGGTCTAGGGGTATGCTTCTCTGACTAGTGATGATACCACGTTTCTTGCAACTGCTCTTCTTCTTGCTAGTCTCGTGAATAGCGGATGCTGGTTTATTGAAAGGTTCGGGGTTGGATGATCGCCAGATCAAGAGGTCCAATCAGCTTTGGCAACAAAAAGTCCAGGCAACGACTGCAGCCCTAAACCCTAAACCCTAAACCCTAAACCCTAAACCCTAAACCCTAAACCCTAAACCCTAAACCCTAAACCCTAAACCCTAAACCCTAAACCCTAAACCCTAAACCCTAAACCACTAGGCCACTCTGTCATCCCTTTCTTCGGGCCCTTAGCCCCAAACATTTGGGCCTCTGGGACAAAAACCCCACAACTCCAACCCCTCCCCCCTCAACCCAAGAACTGCCAAAGCCCCAAACCCCTTGAACTCCTTTCCTCCATGCCCCGCCCGTTACAAGATCTCAGGGCCCCGAAACCCTGTTCTGATTATTAAGGCCCCTATATTGGGGCTGGGCCCTAAACCCTAAACCCTAAACCCTAAACCCTAAACCCTAAACCCTAAACCCTAAACCCTAAACCCTAAACCCTAAACCCTAAACCCTAAACCCTAAACCTTCTGGTTTGGAGGGATCCTTCGGTGAGATTGGAAAGTCGCTGGCGGCGAAGAGCGCTTCTTCATCGACCATGTGGCGCCTTACCCACACGCAAGGGGGTTTAGGGTTTAGGCTTTAGGGTTTAGGGTTTATGGTTTAGGTGCGTGGGTTTGGGGATGTATTTAGGGTTTTCTCCTGCGCAGGTACAACAAGGAATTACGTGCGAGTAGTAGGTTTAGGGTTTAGGGTTGAGGGTTGAGGGTTGAGGGTTTAGGGTTTAGGGTTTAGGGGTAATAGGCACGACTCAGGTCCGTGTTCATCACGTATCATTGTGGCCAAGAGGAGATGTGGTTTAGGGCTTATAGGCTTACAGGGCTTGCATGGCTTAAAACCCTAAACCCTAAACCCTAAACCCTAAACCCTAAACCCTAAACCCTAAACCCTAAACCCTAAACCCTAAACCCTAAACCCTAAACCTTATTGCGGGTGCACTCAGAGCTGCGGCTGTTAGCGCCTTTTTGCACCCCAGAACCTTGAACACGAGATCAAGAAGTTAAGTAACCATAAGGCGCCGATGCCGCGGAGCGTGGGTCTGGTTCACGCGCACTGCCATCCTTCCCTAGGGTTTAGGGCTTAGGATTTCGGTTTCTGTCTTTGCCTGACTCCTTTTCCTTTTGCGAGCGAAGTCAATTGATCACTCTTGTTTTCCTCCCCCCAAAGGCCTTGTCCCTGAATACCCTCAATGCCCAAGATGTCCTTCGTACCTTCAATGCCCTAAAGTAAATACCCTATCATGCCCTCATACCCCCGAAATGCCCTCAGCCCGATGAACAACCCTAAACCCTGGACCTGAAACCCTAAACCTTAAATCAGTTACCCTAAACCCTAAACCCTGAACCCTGAACCCTAAACCCTAAACCCTAAACCCTAAACTATAAACCCTAAACCCTAAACCCTAAACTATAAACCCTAAACCCTAAACCCTAAACTCTAAACCCTAAACCCTAAACCCTAAACACTAAACCCTAAACCCTAAACCCTAAACCCTAAACCCTAAACCCTAACCCTAAACCCTAAACCCTAGCTGTCCGACCTGGCGAAGGCAGCGTACTCCGGCGTGTCCTCGAATCGCTCCTGCGAGGGGCAGCTATCCGGGACTCATTGGGTTTAGGGGTTTAGGGTTTAGGGTTTAGGGTTTAGGGGTTTAGGGGTTTTGGGGTTTTGGGGTTTAGGGGTTTAGGAGTTTAGGGTTTAGGAGTTTAGGAGTTTAGGGTTTAGGGGTTTAGGAGTTTAGGAGTTTAGGGTGTAGGGGTTTAGGAGTTTAGGGGCTTAGGAGTTTAGGGTTTAGGGGTTTAGGAGGGGTACATTGGGTTTAGGGGTTTAGGAGTTTAGGGGTTTAGGGTTTAGGGGTTTAGGGGTTTAGGAGTTTAGGGGTTTAGGATTAGGGTTTAGGGGTTTAGGGGTTTAGGAGTTTAGGGTTTAGGGTTGAGGGCTACATTGGGTTTAGGGGCTTAGGGGTTTAGGAGTTTAGGGTTTTAGGGGTCTGGGGGTTTAGGAGTTCAGGGTTTAGGAGTCAGGGGTTTAGGAGTTTAGGGTTTAGGAGTTTAGGGGTTTAGGGTTGAGGGGTACATTGGGTTTAGGGGCTTAGGGGTTTAGGGGTTTAGGGTTTAGGGGTTTAGGGTTGAGGGGTACATTGGGTTTAGGGGCTTAGGAGTTTAGGAGTTTAGGGTTTAGGGGCTTAGGGGTTTAGGAGTTTAGGGTTTAGGGGTTTAGGAGCTTAGGGTTCAGGGGTTTCGGGGTTTAGGAGTTTAAGGCTTCCGGTTTTTGAGGGGGCGTTGAGGGCTTTAGGGTTTCGGGGGGGGGGGGGTTAGGGTTTTCGGGCTGCCGGGCTTTGACAATTGGAAGTCTAGAAGAGCAGGAGCTGGAGAGAATGAGGGTCTTGGGGCTCAGGGGCTGGAAGCTTCGTTGACCCTAAACCCTAAACCCTAAACCCTAAACCCTAAACCCTAAACCCTAAACCCTAGACCCCAGACCCTAGACCCTAGACCCTAGACCCTAGACCCTAAACCCTTACGAGGAAGGCGCTGGGCTCCGCAAATAGGGTTTCGGGCGTCGGGTGTCTGGGGTAGCGCCCCAAACCCGAATCCCTCAACCCAAATCTCGAGGGAAGCAAAAAGGGACCCGGGGGAGGGCTGGGACCCCGACATTTATTCAACCCCTGAACCCCCATAGACAGTCTCAACTTGGGGGAAGCGGGGGGGGGGGGTTTAGGGTTTAGGGTGGGTTTAGGGTTTAGGGACTAGGGTTAGGTTTTAGGGTTTAGGGTTAGGTTCTTCTTCGTGGGAGGTGGATCTCCGCGTAGGGATGTGAGATGGTTCTGCAAGGGAAAAGTAGCAGCATCCCAAGGCAAAAGAGGGATGGTGTGGAGTGTAGGGGACCAAAAGCGTGCCGCCGGGCATCCTAGGCAAAGAAGAACTTTCCTGGTCATAGCTGAAGTTGGAGGTTGCGCGGGCTGCTTTTGCAACGGCCGGTTCCCAGCTGGTTGAGAAGCTAGGTCATTTTGCCATCGCCGGTGAGTGACAAGTGACAGTTCATACACATCTGAAAGGTCTTGTCAACACCGACCTCGGTTGAGAAGCGGATTTCAGTGAAGCTGCTCATGATCCTCCTTGCTTGTGTAGCCAAGCCGGAACACAACTGGTGTCTCAGTAGTTGCAGAACTGAAGCGAAAGATGTCCCCCCATTCACCAGCAGCGCCGCCCTGTTCTAAAGCCAAGGCCATCTTGCTGGAGTTGTCAGCTTCGCCTCTTTGAGCGACGGCTTCCTTCAGAACCTGGGCGACGTCCGCGTGACCTGCAGCAAAAGCTGCAGCCAAGGCCGTCGTGAGATTGTGCTGATGTGCCCTGTCAGTGGCAGCGCCGGCCTCTAACAGCAGGCGGACAACACTCACGTGGCCACACTGAGCTGCGCAGATTAAGGGCGTCGTGTCCCCAGCCGCACGAACAACATTTGCACGGCACCGAGCAACCGCTGAGCACTCGTCCGGATGCTGCGGCCTCTGCAACATCTCCTCGACCTGCTGAGCATCACCGCGGGCTGCTGCGCGCATGAGCTCGGCTTCCTCATGGGGACCAGATGAACCCCTAAAAGGGTTTAGATGGGTTTATGGTTCCTAGTACCTTGATAGGAATTATGGTAAGTATAGGGTATATGACCCATGGTACCTTCATAGGAATTATTGTAAGTATAGGGTATATGTGACCCCAATCTTAGGGTTCATCTGGTCTCCAAGGTTCCTGTGTTGGGGAAGTCTGGCAGTGCGGCAGGAGAATGAGCTGCAACTCTGCCGGTCCGTCCAGCTCGTCATCGTCGGCCAAGGTGATGGTGTTTTTCAGAAGCCGCTGTTTGAACCGTGGCGCTCCACAGAAGCCCTGGAGGTGACGCTTCAAAGCTCGAACTGGACGATCCCAATCCAGCTCCCGCAGCTCCTCCGCAGAGGTGGTCGCAACGACCTCGCCCGAAGTCGCGTAGACGCGCAGCATTGCGTGACGTGCGCAAGGGTGGACGCAAGGGTGGACGTCTTGAGGGTAAGGAGGCGGCGGTCAGCAGATCCGGGCCACTAGGGGATCGCAAACCACCCCCACAAAGTTCGAGAGTTCTTAGGCCCGATGGGCCCCGAACCTTGAACATTTGCGTTTTGTGCTTGTAGGGCCCCTAAGCCCGGATTCCAAAGCCCCAAAAGCCTCAGACCGAAGGCCCAAAGGGTTTAGGGTTTAGGGTTTAGTGTTTAGGGTTGAGGGTTGAGGTTTAGGGATAAGGGTTGAGGGTTGCCGGTGTCCGGCGCAGGCGGCAGCTCGGTGCCGACGACCGCGAAGAGGACATGGCCCTCAAGGGGACGATTTGGGGGTCTGTGGTCTGTCGGGCTGAATTCCAAGGCTCTCTTTGGTTGAGGGGTTTAGGACTTAGGATTTAGGAACCCTAAACCCTAAACCCTAAACCCTGAACCCTGAACCCTAAACCCAAAACCCTACTTGGCTTCCAGGATGTTCTAGGCTTCTCGTGGTCCAGCCCTGAGGTTTTACAAGCCCGAAGCCCAAATTCCAAGATTCTAAGGTCCCGGGCTCTAGGGCTTACGCCTGTAGAGGAGCCTGGTTAGGTCAGGATTTTGACTTGGGCTTGTAATCAGGTTGCTCCTTGATCTACTGAACTATAGGGTATTTTGTCGGGTTAATTTCAAGTCACAGTGTGCATTTGTGTGGTTTAACTAAGGCTTACGGGTTCAGCTAGGCTCCATATGGTTGGGGAATTCTGCCGAACCCCAGAGTCATGGGTGCCGAACCTAAGTTGGGCACAAACCCTAAACGCCCTAGACACTGAACCCCAACCCGAATCTTTAGGGTGTAGGGTTTAGGGTTTTCCCAGAACTTTCAGGCGTCAGCGAACTCGCCACCCACCTTCGTCAAACCAACCCACAAACACTTGGGTGAATCCCTTTTGGGGTACCCTAAATATTAGGTGCCGTAGTATAATCGGGATCCAAAAAGGGACCATTTTTGACAACCACCCACTTGAACACTAACACCTTGACTGAACCTACTGAACCTCGGATTTTGGGATTAAGGGTTCAGGGCTTAGGGCTTATTGGATTTGAAAAACTCAAAGACCCCAACCACCCCCAAACCCCAAAGCAGTGTGCCCGACCGCCGCGGCAGCAGCCGCAGCAGCCGCGGCCGCAGCAGCAGGGACCGCCCGCCGCGCGCGCCGCGCGCGGGGCATGGTGTGCAACTGGGGCAGCTTCTTTGCTGGAACAGATGGCCTTGCAAGTCTCTAAAACTTCCCAAGAAGGCCTATAAGCCTCAAACGGTGAGCCCTAAACGCCCTGTAAAACCCTAAGGCAAGCCGAGCGCCGGCTGAAGATTTTAAGATTTTAAGACCTCGACCTTCAGGAAGAGATTGGTGCAGTTGGACAATAGGGGGGGGGGAACCCAAGGTGAACCAAAACGCTATCAAGTGCAATACAGGTTTGGGAGGGAAAGAGCTGCAAACATAAACATCAGCGTTGTTCCCTAAACCTCAACTTTAAACCCTAAACCCTTAACTAACCCCAAACCCTGAACCCCAAACCCTAACATCCGCACTTTACGGGGTCAAAGGGCGTTGAAAAGTCGTCGCTTAGGGCATCTTGTGCTGATTGCGTGGGTGTTGAAGCGGCTGCGGGGTGAGGTTTTCGCTTCGCAGGCTTTCTAAACCTTGGAGCCTAAACACTGAACCCTACTTGGAGGTTCATGGTACTTGTTAACCAATGATAACTGTACTTATAACCCACTTAGAATCCCCTTAAGTGCCCTATTCTGGATATAAGTGCAGGTATAAGTACAGATATGATTGGTTAGTAAGTAACATGAACCTCCAAGTATAATGGTCCTAGCGAAAAGCAAAGTAACCTTGCTCTATTCTTGGAACGCTCCCCTGTCCTTACTAGGGATTATAGTATCCCCTATTATACTCCCTATTAAGGCCTGTCAGAAATCTCAAGCTCCACATGAACGTATCACATCTGCCAAACGTAGATGGGAGAACATAAGCTGGGTTCGAACAACGCGAAGGGCTCGGGGATTAGGGTTTAAAGGCCCTTGCCTCGGGACCCTCTGAACTGTCCACTTTCCTGAGAGCTTAGAGCGAACCTTTGGGATTCGCACAGAAGCTAGCAACACAGAGTGCTTTGCATGGAGCTAAGTAACTAAGAGACAATGGGGTGCCACCGGGATCACTCGGGATCCTATGTATGTATATACAGATAGACAGAGAGAGAGAGAGAGAGAGAGAGAGAGAGAGACAGAGAGAGAGAGAGAGAGAGAGAGAACGAGATAGACAGAGAGAGAGATCCTTATGATCCCCCACAGCCCAGGTAAAAGGCGCCGCCCTTTTCTGGCGCTAGGGGGTGAAAATCTGCATCTTCTGGGCGATGTGCGTGCGGCCTCACCAGCTGATGGGTTTGCAGAGATTGCAGGTCTTGTTTGGGTTTAAGGTTTTAGGTTTAGGGTTTAGGGTTTGGGGGTCAAGGTATAGGGTTTAGGGTTTAGAGTTTAGGGTCTCCTCGTCCTTAACCCCATTCACCTAATCCCCCCCAGACATTGGTGCAGACAGCAGACCGATTGGGGGAGTGGCGATTTTGGAGGTGTAAGAACACCCTAAATCCCCCCCTCCTCCCGCCCGAAAACCTTGTCAAGAGATGCTTGCAACTTCCTATCCGAAGCCCTACACCCTACAGACGCTATAAAACCTACAAACCCTACAAACCCTATAAGCCCTGTAAACCCGTAAACCCCATAAACCTTATAAACCCTGCAAACCCTGTAAACCCTGCAAACCATGTAAAGCCTATAAACCCTATAAAGCCTGCAAACCTTATACACCCTCTAAACCCTCTAAATCCTATAAACCCTATACAACCTTTCAACCCTCTGAACCCCATAAACCCTACTAACCCTACGAGCCGTAAACCCCAGGGCTTCAAGTGGGCGGTTGTCAAAATTAGGGTTTAGGGTTTAGGGTTTCGGGTTTCGGGTTTAGGGTTTCGGGTTTAGGGTTTAGAAATAGGGGTTTTGACAGCCACCCGAGTAGACACCCCCCTTTCTGGGAGCAAAGCAGATGGGGCACTCCGCAAGGTCGTCCTGCAAGCCGCAGAACCTCAACCCCCAGGATTGATATTATAGGGTTTATAGGGTTTATAGGGTTTATAGGGTTGATAGGGTTTATAGGGTTGATAGGGTTTATAGGGTTTATAGGGTTTATAGGGTTTATAGGGTTTATAGGGTTTACAGGGTTTATAGGGTTTATAGGGTTTATAGGGTCTATAGGGTTATAGGGTTGGCTGCACTTAGGAGGGTAGCAAAAAATTACACTTTTAGCCACCTTATTAAGAAACCCAATACACCCAAAAAGGCTAAAGATGTAAAGTTACAGCAAAGCACCACAAAGGATTGATCGGGGTCGTTAGGTTCAGGGTTTGGGGTTCATAGGGTTTAGTGAGGGCTTTATTGTGTTTAGGGTTCAGGGTTTGGGGTTCATAGGGTTTATTGTGTTTAGGGTTCAGGGTTTGGGGTTTATAGGGTTTATTGTGTTTAGGGTTCAGGGTTTAGGGTTTAGGGTTTATAGTTGCGGGTTTCGGGTTCAGGGTTTAGGGTTTGGGTTGCTTAGTAGGGAATGAGGGTACTAGGTGTCTTGAGGTTGAGGTTTCATGCTGAGGGCTTAGGGCCTTAACTTCTGGGTTCCTGTAAAGTTTCGGGGCTTCAGCGCTAGGGTTTAGGGCTAGGGTTTAGGGTTTAGGGCTAGGGTTTAGGGTTTAGGGCTAGGGTTTAGGGCTAGGGTTTAGGGTTTGGGGTTTAGGGCTTGGGGCATAGGACTTGGGGTTCAGGCCTTAAGGTTCCCCGCCTAGAAGGCTTGAACAGGCTTGTAGGGCCTAAGATACCGGGGCTTCAGTGTTAGGGTTTAGGGTTTAGGGTTTAGGGTTTAGGGTTTAGGGTTTAGGGTTTAGGGTTTAGGGTTTAGGGTTTAGGGTTTAGGGTTTAGGGTTTAGGGTTTAGGGTTTAGGGTTTAGGGTGGAGGGTTCAGGGTGCAGGGTTTAGGGGTTAGGGCTTCGGGGTTAGGGTTTAGAGTTTAGGGGTTAGGGCTTAAGGTCTGGGGGGCTTGACGGCCTGTAAGCCTCTGCTCTCCACCTGGGCTTCGGACGTGCACATGGCCAGGTGTTTGCCTCAGACGCGGGAAGGGTTGAGGGTTTGGGGTTTAGGGTTTAGGGGTTCCAGGGTTGAAGAGATTACCTGGAGGCGTAGGGTTTAGGGCTTTAGGGCTTTGCAAGTGTTTAGGGTAAACCCAAAACCCCAAACCCCAAACCCCCAAAGCCCAAAGCCCAAACCCCCAAACCCCGAACCCTAAAGCCCAAAGCCCAAAGCCCAAAGCCCAAACCCCCAAACCCCCAAAGCCCAAAGCCCAGACCCCCTTAAAGCTAGGGGCGACCTCGTCGTCTTTTTGCACATTACATCGGAGCCGCTGCTTCCAAGAGATTTTCTCTGGGAGCTGTGCTTGGAGGTTCATGGGTACTTATAAGCCCAATTACATATATCTATATTTCATTTATTTTCTTCGTGTATTTATGTGTATATATATATATATATTTTTTTTTTATAAGCCTACTTATGACCTACTTCGAGGACTTAGGGAGCTTATAGGTGCAGTTCTAATTTGGGGCTACAAGTACCCTGAACCTCCAAGTGGGATCGTCGGTGGGCAGGTAGGGGGGGAGTGGCTTAGGGTTTGGCAGGTCTCGGCCTGAAGGCTTTTGTTGCGACTCCCCCCCCCAAACTGCACCAAAGAAAGGCGTAAAGCGAGTCAGTCATAATATGGCTGCCGAAATATTTAGGAACTTCACGTAAGTTACTTTGCTAAGGGGCCCGGATTAGGCCCCTGTCGGCCGGCGTCCACCTTCTCATTCTTGCACTGCTCTTCCTTCCCGCGCCATGCGCAGCAGCAGAACCAGCTCGAT